GGGGGGGGGGCCCGCCGCGCCTCCCGCTCCCGCCGCTGTGCGCAGATCGCGCAATCACGCGCAAATTAGGCGTGGGCGTCGCAGGTGCTTCGCTGTCATGGCTAATACCTTGTGTACTTGACATAACGGGATGCCGCGATGCGGAGGCGACACCACCAGGCAGGACGTTTCTCCGCGCGCGGATACATGGGACCCAGTGGACATGCCGCGATTAGCCCTCGACGATCGCGGGCCGCGGGCCAGGGACCACGATGCGCGCAGGGGGAGGTGGGAGGTGGGAGGCAACCGCAAAGACGGCAAGCAGAGAGAGTTAAGGTTCCGGGGGAACCATGCTGCAGGCGGTCGACGATCCACCGAGGCAGGCTCGTTCGAGCGGAATACATGCGTGCGCGTCTGAGAACAGGGCGTCCGCCTGGTCCCTGCTTGAACGAACGTGCATCCGGACGGCACCCGAAACAAGACGCGTTCGCTGCGCGCCCCGTGCGCCCAAGACGGCCAGCTGCAGAGTGCACGGCCAAGCTTCAGCCACTCTCACCGTTCCCCCCGATAGACCCTAGCATCGGGGATGATGATAACGGGAAGACAAGCAGGCTACCGTACTCACCGCTGTCAACCGCAGGCGTTATCTCCCCTCCCTCGCTTCCTGCGGCCAGCCGGACAGCAAGCCTTGAGGCCCCCAATCAAGGCATGAGCTCCGCAGACCACGGGGACACACACCGACTGGCCCCGAGCCTTCTCTCCCACTGATCCGGGCGCACCAGGGACGGACAAACGGTACGCCAGCACGCCAACTCTAAACCCTCGCTTCGGGAAGTCCCCCGCACTTCCTCCTGCGTAACGGCTGCACGGCCCACATCCGCATCGCCACGTCCCAGAGGGCTCGCGGACGCACTACGCACCGGTGCCCTCCGGCCGCGTCCCACTGTGCACCGCGCGACGACGACGATCGCGCGCTGCAAACAACACGCCGGTGCTCAGCTGCCCGCTGGCCCCCACCACTCGCGCGAGACACTGGCCTAAACCGCACCCAATGGAACCACGCACGCCCGCATCGCTCGCAGCGCTCCCTCCTGCGTGTACTTGATTGACGTACCTACTTGCCAATACGGGCGATCACCTCCCTCTCCTGGAGGCAGATGTGCATCCGCGGCCCAGGATGGGCCTGTGATAGGAAAATAGAGCCGCTGCAGGGTTCCCGCCGCTGGGGCCCTGTGTTACGGCATCCGGTCCTGCCTGCTCGCTCATTTGCTGGGGGTTTTGTCGCGGGTCCGGGGGCTTTGCGCTGGGACATGATGCACTGATGTGGCGCCGCGGCGGTGGTCCGTCTCAATCTGATCCCTGTCTGCAGATTCAGCGCCTTGGCTCTTGATTGCTGCGTAGGGACGAACGGCTGGCCGTCGTCGTTCCGCTGGACGCCTCCCCCAGGTATGTGGCGCACTGAAAGTTTGTGCTCCGGAACGTCGGGAGCATGTACATCAATGCTGAAACTTGTGCCACGGACACACGTAACGTTCGCACTGTCCCCTGGATCTATCTCGCTTACCGTCTTCAGGGTGTGAACCCTCTGTGCGTCAACCCTATCGCACTACCTCGTTGCAGTACATCTGAGCAACCTGAGAAACGCGTAATTAAACGCACCGTCAAAGACGTGAGAGGTCGAGAATCGAGAAACTTACCGGAATTCCGGTCGCGCTTCTGGCTGCAGCGAACTTCACGATCGCCCGAGTTTGTACCGACATGAGCACACCGAGCTACACATACCGTGCCAATCATGTGGGAAGCTCTTCACCCAAACCGCTCAGCATCACGCATGCGCAAACCGATGAGTCCCCGTAGGTGTGCATATTAGCAGATACAAACAAGAAATCCATTAAATATCGCTCATGGCCTGGCATCTTCGCCGATGGGTAAGTAAAATATCCCCCGCAGTCTCATTGCTTTTTGCCGGAAAGTTCTTTCTTGGCGGCCCTATCTGCCAGGCGAAGAGCACCGGAGATGTCTTTGCCAAGACGCCAGATGATGATGCTGGGGACAAGAAGCCACAGCCTGCGCGATGATATCAGCAAGATGCAGCAAAAGACAGCGCAATGGATGCGCACCCGTTAGGGATGACCCAAAGCACGATCAGATCCTGCAACGAATTGTGGCCGACCGAGCACCCATTACAGTAGTATTCCTGGAGCCAGTAGAGAATCGTTTTTGACAGCGTCATGACAGCACTAGCGAATCCGACAAGAGGCGCAATGGAGGAGCCCTTGACGTGCGCGAGGTAGAGATAGGCGATGTTCATGAGGTTCTCGACAATGTTGAGCAACGCTGCGACGTGGTCAGCCGGCAAAACCATGCACGAGTCGAAGGGGGCACTTACATTGTGCGTTGGGGAAACCGTCGCCTTCCTCGTACGCCTTGACACCATAGATCTAATCACAAACCGGGTGGTGACGCGCCGTTGCCAGGGAGAAACAAACTGTGGTAACGCACGTAGTCCACCTCCTGGTACAGCGCATACGGCTTCCAAAAATGGTGCAGGTCGCCCCCCACCATAGACCGCGGCCTATATGCGCGTCCCCCACGTCAAGCACACCGTCGACACAGCTATATCCGCGCGCACTCACCTGAGGAATAAGTACGTTGCGTCCCAGAATATCACCGGGATGGTAAGCGCGAACCTGAGGCTTCGTGTGAGTGCTCAGCGCTGCTAGACGTACGCGCCACGCACCAAAGAGATACCAAGAGGTGTGTTCTGACGGCCATTGCAGTCCGAGTCGCAGTCCGAGTGCGTCGTGATGGCAGGAGGGAAGAAAAGTGGGGCAGAGCTACGCGAAGTCTGCGGACGTAGCCACTCAGGGCGTGGGAACCAGCCGTGGTTGGCTGTGCGGGAACTCGTTCGATGTGCTCGCGCCGCTCTGGCTGGAGGTCGTCATGGCGCGGCGCTGGGCTCGAGCGCGAGCTGCACGAGCTGCCCTGTGCGCTGGTGCCCGGTGTCGGCGGCGAGCCTGGTATCGGCCCGTCGTATTCGAGATAATAGCACATGCCCGCCGTGGCGCTGCCCTGCTGGTATCCCCGCCGCCAGTGCGCAGTGGGCCTTTCGCGCGTGGCTTCCTGCAGCTGGTGCATCTCGAATTTGTCCGAATAGCTGGCCGAAAAGACTGCGCCGAACATGGGAGATGGCAGGCAGGATCAAGGCGCGGACGGAGGTCGGGATGACAACTCGCGGTTGGAACTTTGGAAGAAGTGTGGGTAGCCATGTTGGTGACGGAGAGCACAAAGAGCGGTCTGTGTGTTCCAAGTTCCGCGAGGCCACGGCTGTTGTGCGTGGCGGCCTGCTCCGAGCGGTCATCCTTTTCATCACAACAGCGGCAGGATCCTGCTTTCACGTCGAGTGTCTGCAATCAGCATCACCGCTCTTGCTTGAGCTAGACTTGATTTGTGTAGTGGAGCGGCGCTCTATCTCAAGATGCTGGTGAGTGGGAGACGGGTGCAGAATTCGAGGTTGCTGGACCACATCACTGAGCCGATTAATGGACGTTGGCTTCTCAGTGCACCACCTAGCTCGCACTGTTCAGTCATTTCGGAGCAGTCACACATGCAAGGCCAAAATCCTCAGAAGAATCAATCAATTCGCCGGTCAAGTTCACTCCCTTGACATACATGCCATTTTTGAATGTGCACTAAATCATAGGCAAAAAAAAAAAGCTATCGATACATTTTGACACCCTAGTTGCTAATAGCGGAGTATCCGATACTCCCTCAAGAGATGGTGATCTTCTTTGGCGTCGTCTCGGGAGTCGACTTTGGGTACGTCACAGTGAGGATACCGTCCTGCATATTGGCCTTGATATCCTCGCTCTACAACAGAAAATAGCGTCAGAATTACAACCGTCACGAAAGGTTCCCGTCGTACGCACTTTCACACCCTGAGGGAGCGGAATTGCGCGCTGAAACTTGCCGAAGCGGCGCTCGCGCACTTTATACCCGCCCTCATCGCGTTCGCCCTCCTCCTTGCATTCGCCCGCCACGCTCAGAACGCCGTTCTGCACACCGATCTGCACGTTCTCCTTCGAGAGTCCGGGCAGCTCAAACATTGCCCTCATCGTGTTGGCCTCCGAGTCTTCGTGCAAGTCCATCCTGCGCAGCCGAGCACCGGTCAGTTGTCCATGCAGAGATACAGAAGAGTCAACAAAGACGTACTTGGGCCTGAAGGACCGGGCAGATGGGGCAGTGTTTTCCATTCTCTGAACTTGGCGGTCGTCGGTGGATGCGGAGCGCGCAGAGAATGCATCATCGAACAAGCGATCAAAGTCAGCAAGGGAGTAGAAGGGCTCGTAGAAGAATGTCGAGAAAGACATGGGGAATGTTTGGTGTTTGGAGGTAGATGAGAGTTGAGCAAGGCAAGTTGTTTGAATACGTTCCGCTGGCGACAGCGTGCGGACGGAGTGCTTATATGCGCTGCGAGGACAGGGGCGCGAGCTTGTAGGCCGTGTATGTCGAATATTCGTGGATGGCCGACCGCCATCTGGAACATCATAGGACGTCTGCCAGGTGATTTGATAAGGTGGAGTGCAGAATAAACCAGACGCGTCAAGAAACCCCTAGAAGACCCTAGATCGCTCTACCGCGAATGCTCTACGTGCTGCACTAACTCTCTGGAATTTACTAGGTCCGTATATCGACATGAATGTTACTGGCTTGGGTATGCTACTCGTTCGCACAATATGCTACTGGGCGTGTTAAGGAGGCGGATTGGGACCGCTAGCCGTTGGGAATGTTCAAGTCGTCTGCATAACTTGAGACTATCGCGGTTTTTTTTGTTTCTGTTCAAACCCACGGACGAATAGGCTTGAGCGCAAGAGCAAATGGACCGTAAGGAGGCATAAGGGCCCCATAATAGTAGGTGGACAGTGTACTTGGTGCTACCGCGAATTGACCAGAAGAATCGAGATCCTGGACGAGCAGCCAAATAATGCCAAATAAGTGACGCATCGACAGTTCCTCTTTCTTCTCGCTGGACCCTGGTGAGTCTGCAGCACGGACGTATTTGACTCGGATCGCCCTGAAGGTGGGTTATGAAGACGAAAACGCTTCACATACATTTCTTCGGGCACAATATGCCACGAATGTTCTTCCCGTCCTCGACGAAAAAAACAGCTCGATTCAGTTCCCAATCTAAATGTCAAAATTTAGTAGGTCGAGAGGCCTTCCATTATCGCAAAGCATTTATCAGACTCCTCGTAGAGCGCGCGCACTGTGCGCAGACTTCATCTGCTTCACGCGCAATATTCCGACGAAACATGGCCCACACCCCGTGCATGTGCCTCATCATCCTCCTTGTTCAAGAGCAGTGTGGGCGCCGAAATGTACTGTATCTCATCCAATGCAGGCTGCTCCTCGATTTTTCTTATGATCGCCAACTCCGAAAAATCGAGCCTGAGCAAGAAGAGATCCGCCAATGCACGGTCTGGCATTCACATGGTGCTGTAGACGATTGAACCCTTTTTCGGCATCGCCTCTAATGATTGCGAGAGGGTCGCACTGCTAAGGACGAGGCGTCCCAATCCCTGGGGGAGCCTGTGGGAAGCGTAGTGGGCGGCCATCACCCTACCGTAGGAGCATCTGAGAACGTCGAATTGCCCTGGATGCAGAAGTGGCCGAGAAGATTGCCGAAGTTATCGGTCGACGACCTATAGTTTCTTCGGCTTGTCGAACAGGTGGGTGGATTTTCCGATATCGATCTGGTTATTCAACGACAGAGATGTTGAAAGATGCGGCGAGGGTGGATGGTGTATCATGTGGTGGTGAGGCAGTCCGGGATTTTGACAAGCCTGAAGTCGCACCAGGTTGACGTCGCACTTGACTTTGCGGGCTTTTCAAGAGTGCGTCCTTTCTATGGCATCGCAGTTGGCTCAAACAAACACTATTCTTTAGTTGCTCCTCTCGAATCATCCCCCGATGACCTGAATGAAACTACCGCCCGTGTCTGGTTGGTATGCGCGGATATGCCCATATCCCAGCCAGGTCCGGGTGGTGGCTTCGTACAAGTGTCGAGAGCATTCGTTTCTGGGATTACAGAATTCTTTGCGTGTGGTGGTCAGTGTCTGATTCTATTCGTATTTTAGCTGCTTGTATCCTCAGATCTCACCCCACCCCTTGTCTGAATGTCTTCCAGTAAGTCTGCATACCGTTCAGCATGCGTTGTGCTGATGACATTTTGATATTTGCATCTACCAGGGTGACACCGCATTAAGGCAAACACGGCTATATACTTCAAACCTGCTTTACTTGTTCATGGCTGTGCGTGATGCATAGTGCATCAAGTATGGTACCTCAACTTTGAGGCCCGAAGACTTGAGTGGGCGATACGTATGATGCGTCGTCCGCTCTCTAGTTGTTTGGAAATTTGTGAGCACGACGACTATGTTATGGTAGACTTGTGTTCAATCCCTCGTCGCATTTCCTGCACTTACCTGTTTTCAAAGGGACGTTGCCTCATTTCCACGAGAAAAAATTCTCCCTTCCATGCTTGTTCTCACAATTCTTACGTCTGAATCATTGAGACTAGAGACTAAGGCAGAGGCAAGGAAGACCATTTCCAGCGGCAGCGGTGGGTTCGTGCCACACATCGTGCAACGTACGCATTGCTAATACGCTCCGCACCACATTTGTATCCAGGAAAGGCTTGACATCTTTCGGAAGGACCAGAAGGCGTATCGCTTGGTGAGACGATCAAACAGATGCGTTGGGCAGTACAATACTGTGAAAAGGGCGACTCTCGCAAATGAATGAAGAAGCTGCCCCATGCGGACGCTCGTCCTTCGGTTTTGCATGTGGGTCATTGAGTAGTTGAATTGATGAATCTTTCTGCATGTGAGTGTCGTTTTTGAGTCGATCATCTTTCTCTATCTCTCGGTCGGACGCCCTTTTTCAAACGTTCTTGTACGACTTCTGTGTACCACATACGAAACTGTTGATACCAAGGGACCGGGCATAATGTAACGGGCAAGACCAGGCAATGAGGCTGAGCAGGTCAATACCGAAACGCTAGGTGTCGAGAGGGCGAACAAGAGTACGGAGGATTCGCGAACAAGGGTGCCAGCTACTGGCGTTGATTCCACGAGGGTACAGTGTGAGGTCTTTCAGACCTTGAAGTGCAAAGTTCTGGGTAGTGAGCCATACTGTACCTGTCTCCACAGCTGTATAGGGCACTGACTAAGTTACCTATCGTGGACAATTGATTGGTCATGCGGTGAATCAAAAGAAGCATCGCGTTCGCTCTAGTGGTTGCGCCGTGCGCACTCGATCAGAGCCCAGACCTGGTCGCAGTTGAAGTCCATGGCTGGGCGCCGAGACTGAGCAATCATTCAAATATGTACATCTCTCCCCATAGTCTCGCATGCAAACTAGTGGAGACTGTATCACCCCCAGTTGATGACAACATCACTCACCATTCGGACCACCATTCAGACCAATTTCCGAGGTAGGCGAGGTAATTATGAGCGGAGACGGTGAGCATGTGTGTTTCAAATGTTAAATGTACTATGATTTATCATCGTAAACGAGTAGATGACAGCGGACAGGGGCTAAAGCAGGGCGGAGAACAATGTAGCCCGTTCCCTAAGCAACCCATCGAACTTCCAGTCGAATTATGGTGGAAGGTCATCGACTTCACGATGGGCGACTTCTTGCATCTTGAGAATGGTGGGATCCGATTGCAAGAGCTTGCGACGGTGTGTTGGACATGGTATGCTCGATGCCATTCTAAATCCCTGGAGCGGATTGATATTGTGCGGAGAGACAAGAAGCAAGCGTATCGGCTGGTCAAAATATTAAACGAGCAACCCGAACGATACAAAGTCATCAAGAGGGTCAATTTCGCAAACAACAAGATCAATATGTTTGGCTCTCTTGCTATATGCATGGCAGGGAAACTGCCCCGAGTGGAGATACTAAGACTCGAAGATTGTGCGTGGGTCCCAGGGCAGTTGCATTGGCAGGTTTTCCTGCATGTGAATGCTGCATTCGGGTCGATTACTAGGCTTCATCTCCTCTGGGTCTCGTTCCCTTCTGCGACCGTCTTTGGACGATTTATCTGTGCTCTTCCACGCCTTGTCTCACTCAAATGTAGATTTGTGAGACTCAAAAGAGATACCATTGTCGCGAATAACGTGCTAATGTCAAGCTTCCCCCGGCTCGACGCCATTGATCTCTACGGCAGCAGTGATGTCGCCGACTTCCTCATTGCGACCAGGGCCAGCACTTATCTCCGCCACGTTACCTTCAGTGGACCTGATGCTCGAGAGGGATGCTCTACGCTGATCGCTATCACGGCCGATCCCCTCTCTTCCCTCCATTTCAAGCCAGAGATGAATAGCTTCGAGGAAGATACCGGTGTGTTCTAAAGTATATATTCACCGTACAATGCAGTGCCAAATATTATTTCCCAGCTTCAGGCCAGGACCTTCTTCCCGATCTCACGCCGGCCGTCAACCTGCGTCTTCTGTCCGTCTTTCTCGATGGCTTTGATGCGGACTGGTCCTTCCACCCGCGATGGCTAGCAGACGCCTTGCCTCCCGCCTCTTTGCCCAAACTAGCCGAGATCGAGATCATTGTACGCCCTCGCGATAAAGACAAGTGCGTGCAAGGCAGCTTCGATGATGTCAGCGACGACGCCTATGCACAGATTGATCGAATCCTCTCCGGACGTCAGTTTCCCGCCCTTCGGAAGATCACCTTCCACCTTCGGTGTACTGTTCGTCGTAGTGTTGTAATGAAGGTGTTGACCGCCGAGTCCTGGAAGATGCATCTTTCGTCGAAGCTTCCAACATTATATGCTAGTGGTCGGCTCTTGTGAGTTACACAGTGGTCGGCTGTTGATCTCAAGTCTTGGAATTACCAGTGCTTACATGACCCCTAGAACTCTTGTATCTATCCATGCATACTAGTTCTCACCCATGTTGCTCCACATCCCAATTTGACCTGGCTCTTGCCGCCGACAGCACTTTTGGCATTACCACGACACAACGCACCATTCATTCCCGGCACTGCTTACGGATGCTCGCTATCAGTCTCGCCCTCAATATTCGTTGCCAAGTACTAGATTAACCTATTTATGCGGATGTGTTACATCCAGATTATCTGGGAATCACCCGTAGCGCAAGCTGAATCCGCGTCCACGCATCGTGTAGCTGTTTTGCAAGAAGCCGTTCGTGTAGAATTACATCTATCCCGGGCCGGTCTTTATGCAGAACACCTTCTCATTTGTTCTAAGTATCGTAATCTTATCTTCGTATTTATACTCGCTGTAATATTTCTGCCGGACCGTTTTTCTCTGCGAGCGTGTCACTGGCAGATGTGAATTGTTGACGGTGAACGGCGAGTAGTCAGACAGACTGCTGGACGCTCCAAGACGTTCTCGAGACGTTCTTCAAGCCGCTAGTTGTGTCTACGTTGGTGAATTGTGACGAAGGAGTGATCGACAGCTGCCTAGGGGATCGACTGATACCGCGATACGCCTTAGTACTCGGGCTAAGTCAAACTTACAGACTGATCACTTTGATCGTTATCCTGTATCATCTTTTTTGCCTTGTTCCTAAACCTAACTGGGTGCTCTCGAGCATGAGATGGGCTATGCGGCCATGTGTCTGATTCGCGGCACTTCCAAGTCCTTTTCAGATCCAACACCTTGGCCTTAGATTCCTAATCTCAACACAGTAGAATCGCATAAGACCGCACAACGCAATGTCTGCAAGTTCTCATGGCTGAAGGATTTCCCCGTATATCATCTTATCGAACATGGAAGCAGGCTAGCGCGACGGCAACTCTTCAATATTCAATGTAGACCTCGCGCCAACCAGATGCTGGGCAGAGTGAGGGCGGTTGACACATTGACTCAGAGGTTCATCATAACGTTTTCACCTCCATTCATAATTTGACCTCGAGAAGCATTTGCAAATATCAGCTCCCTGGTCGCCACGAGAGGGGAGGCAGGCTACGTATATCGTCCTTAGCACCAAGACGCTTGACTCGTTCAGTCGATCGACTCGCGTGCATGCAGTAAACGCCTGACATCATGATACATTCTTTTAGGTTAACGTCCCGCTATCTGCATAAAAGTGCACTCGTTTGCTAGGTGCATTCTGCCGACTCTGACATGCTAGGTACTGCTTTTCAGATTCTCGTCGCCAGCCAGATAAATTCTGCAATGAGTGCAAGCACGCGCACTTATGGCCTACCATATCCTGGATTCTTAAAGTTGTGCTTGTGCCAGTGCGAGCTCAGTCGGCAGCACCTGACACATGGTTCTGTGTGACAATGTTTCCCACCCGGTTGGCATTTGTATATGGGGCAGGCACTAGACGATACACATAGACAGATACGCGCCGGGGAGTGTGGTTTGTATGTACTCATTGTTGCTTTTGCGGAGTTACTGGCCCACTAAATGACCAGCTCTGCTATTCACGCCATCCTCTGCATACTCTCCAATGATGCCCTTGTGGTGCATGGCTGTAATTTCGTATCTAGCTCTAATCATGCGTGCTTGCATGCGCTTTTGTCCATGGAAAACTAGGTTCAATTCACCTCGGACTCCACATAGTGTTCAAACCCACGGATCACCGTCTGGACTAAATGTCGACACTGTTGAGAATCTTCCGAGCGGAGAAGGTGAGTACACACCATATACATCAGTCTACACTGGCATCCAAAAGTGTACAAATAGATAACGATGTACATTCCTCAGTGTCTGTTCTCGAAGCCTCTGGACAACCATCTGATGTCCTCCCTAAATATCCGACCCAACTCCCGGTCGAGTTATGGTTGACCATTATTGATTTAGTGTTGGACCATTGCTGGCATAGCTGGGATTACCAAGACCAGCTGCAGAAGCTGTCGATGGTTTGTCAAGGGTGGCTTGCTCTCTGTCGCTTTCGTGCCCGGGAGAAGGTTGATGTCGAGGATTTGGACAAGAAAGGGATATTCCGATTGATCAAAGGACTAGAAGAGTATCCCGAGCGATACGATGTCATCAAGACGGTATCTTTCTGGAACCCATACAAGATCGATGTCTTGGGGTCGTTTGCTGTACGCATGGCTCGGAAGTTGCCTCGCGTCGCAACACTCAATCTTGTCAATTGCGACTGGGTTTCTGGAAAGCTGCACCCACAGATTTTTTTGCATATGAATGCCACATTTGGATCGATCAGCACCCTCGAGCTTGTTGGAGTCTCATTCCCCTCTGCAGCTGTGTTTGGGCGGCTTATCGGCGCCCTCTGCCGCCTCTCCATCCTTAAATGCTTTTCTGTGAAGTTTGCGAAGTATGGCATCGTTGCGGATACGGTTCGAGAGTCACGTACGCCCACACTCGTTGCCGCCTATCTGGACCAGAGTAGCAGCGTCATGGAGTTCCTCGGCATGGTCTCAATTGGCGCTCACCTCCACCATCTCAGTTTCGATGACTCTGACCGAGAGAAAGGCGCGAGGATGGTCGCTGCAGCCGGAGAGTCGCTCTCCTCCCTGGACATTCAGCTACAGAACCCAATCGATAATTCAAATAGTACGTCTTCGAAAAAGGTCTACTTTGCAATACAGCATAATGTTGGTTAATGTTCTCTTACCGCAGATGCTCTTCCAGATCTCACACCAGCTGTCAAGTTGAGTGCGTTGTTGGTTGATCTCGATCTCAAAGACTTGGGCTGGCTAGCAAATATCTTGTCTCATGCTTCTCTACCCAAGCTAGTCGAACTTCAGATCGTCATAAAGCTCGATGCTCGTGAAGGGGAGCATGTACTAGATGTGCTTGACAAAATCGAATACAATTGTTGTGAACGGATCGATCAGGTCCTCTCCACACGCCAATATCCCGCCCTCAAGACATGATCTTTCACCACCGGTGTAGGGTCAATTCTCGCAGCGAAGTTACAAATGTGATATCTGCTGGATCTTGGAGAACACACGTCTCGTCAAAGCTTCCGAAAGTGAAGGCCAGTGGACGGCTCTTGTGAGTAAATGCGCTTACCGTCTATTGACTCTCGGTGCCAGCTTTGAATATACTAAAACTCATGCATTTGTCTAGCACCTCAGTATCTGTTGAAGTTCTCAACGAATAACATCACTATGGTCTTATTTGACACGGCACTGTTCATGGAAGCGCAGGCGTGTCATTTTCTCTACCAGTCTCACATGCGGCCTGTGCTCACGTCCTCAAACACGATGATACCTCCACAAATACGGGTTCTAGACTTTTCATCGCTGATCGTCTCATAATTTTATTGCCCCAACACCGTCATTTGGAATCCCAATATTGCCACGCTGCTATTTATTATGCAAAACAACCGGAATGCGCCGTTATCTTCCAGGATGGCGCATATGTATCATTGCGGTGGGACCATGAACCAGCAAAGAAGATGGGAGTCCCAGAGGACCTACATGTTCATGCCGATGCCTCAGTTCCCCAGCTAAAGTGGCTAGCCGCACCGTTCACTATGTTCTCCCACTTAATCACAGATTCGTGCCTCTCTACACTAATCATGCAGCCTATTATGTCTTCCCCGGTATTAACTGATAACCTGAACCTATTCTTGCGAGGTATTGAATCGACACCATGAGCAAAGCGTGGTGTCCGGACACGCGCCGTACATGCGCCGGGAGGGATCGCGATTTCTCTCAATTTTCGGAGCCCGAACATTGAATTGTTATGTTCGGGCAACAAACATAGCAGATCGATAGCCTCTGATTGGCCTTTTTGCAGCGTTCCTTTCATATAAATCCAGCCGTGTGTTTGGAGATCGAAAATTGGAGGAAAATAGAATCTCCCGCAGCCAGTTTCCGGTGGATGTTCATCTACCGAACTTCGGCAATTGCTCGCGGTGCGACTTGATTTAGGAGTAACCATCTACTCCTTTTGAACGGAATTGGTTCTTGCCGCAGATGTTCGAAGAGTAATTCAACATGAGGTTCGCGCATTTACCACATGCCGCAAATGCATTTGACGGAAATGTGGAAATATACAGGAGCCTGCTTTAAAGTGCAAGATGAAGATGCTGAGTGTTCTAAACTGAAATCGGGTCCCATCATTATTTCAACCGTCGTAGAGAAGAGCGTGAGTAAACAATCATACCATCCTATAAATCCTAATCTCACAGAAGTCCCAGGCATTAAACTTGACGCCTCTCGCACTGACCCTGCAGGATTTCGCACATACCTAACTCGAGTCTGTTGTTGGTGTGCACATGTCAAATTTGCTCTTTATATCCACCTTTCATACATGGCGATTCATAGATGTGCCTGTTGTGCATCTTGCCCCAATTATTTGCAAATGAACGACAGAGGGCTACAGCTGTGCAGTCCAACCGTGACAATTTGTAATGAATCAGTGCGGCATCGAGGCTTCATACACTACACCTCAAGAAGCCACCCATTTTCAGAGTGCTTCAAGCTGACGCCGGTCATAGCTTGGATGGTCGACGTCTGACACTTATGCCTGGCTTAGGTGCCGAATTTATAACATCGGGTCCGGATTGCACGATGTTCTCGCGCACATCTGCGCATGCACTTGAGGCCCAAGGCAGCTCCTGCGCAGAACAAGCATGTGTTTCATGCCCTTTCTTCGTTGCGTGTTCTGCAACTCGGTACCGCTCAAGGAACTCTGAGATGGAATCAGCGTGTCAAATTCGCGTGCCCTTCAGCCTATTTCCCGTTACCCGTTTACGAGAAGCAGCTTGACCACGCTTCTTGTGTTTTATAGATGCCATGTTCCGTTCAGACGCACCTTCCACAACGCTTGACGTCTTTCGGCATGTCTGTAGGACATCCATCATGGCTACTGGCAGATGTACACCCTCAGCCGATTATGTCGCACCAGCTCGCTGATACCGACCGTAGATATCTTTTGTATGGATCACCGTTATCTGACCCTTCCTTTTTCTATTGGGAATGAAGATTCCTTTATTCATACCCGGTGGGCCAGTCGGTGCGATGGCTTCCTAATTGAATTGCTTTAAATTTACATTCACTTCTAGTACCGAAGTAAGTTGGGCTCATGATAAGGGCACAGCCTGTAGGCGATGTATCAGATAAAATTCACGAGTACGTCAGTAGCGGCAGCCTGATACCCTGATTTTGGATTACCCATTAGCTATAGCGACCTTAGCGGTGTACAGCCTATTAGGGAACCACGCCTCTCATTTGATGCGACACGACCTTCGCACCTCTCAAATCCGCTAAGATACATCTCAATTTAGCCGGTCTGACGATGGCCCCCCGGCTCGAAAGATGCCAGTGGATATATACATTCTAATTCGTTTGAACCGAGTACTACACGGTTCGTGTGAAGGGAGAGATGGGGAGAGGTAGTACTCCGCGAGCCGTCGGGAGATCTCCCCCTCTTCCACCTCTCCCGCCTGAGCAACTGAAGGGTTCGCGATGATGTCAATTTCGTGTGCACACCGACGACGATTGCTACGTTGGGATCAGACACGCATCTCACCCATTCTGTTTGTCGCAGTTCCGGGCCCGACGCACCCCACGCGCATTCACGATCCACGGTGTCCCTCTTGTCCCCCCTCTCTAGATGTAGATATTTGTAGTAGTACACATGGAGCATCAGCACAAGGTGCACGAGGACATGATACATCACCATTCTGCCTTTCTCAGACTGATTCAAGCCTATTCATAAAACGCTCAGCATCATGATGCCTTCGGCACAGACGTCCGAAGCCTGACAAGACCCTGAACGATGATAGATGAGCAAGAACCGAGTCCGCCGTGCTAGGTGCATGCTGTACACATAGATACCGCCGTTGGCTGAATGCGCCCAAACGCGGCCGCATACGCTGAGGTTCCGTCGCCCGGAGCGCTATCTGCAGACTGAACGCCAAGTGACCGCGGCCACTGAGTGGGAGCCTCGGTGTGCGCGTTGATCAATTCGGCACGCACTTCTGATACAAGGGCGGGCTCACTTTCCGCTATGCCCATGTCGAAACGTTGAAATATGTAGCCTTCAGGCCTTCAAAGCTTCAGCTTCAGGCCTCAGCATACCTCAGCATTCCAAAACGACACAAACTTAAATTAGGTTCCGGCATCTCTCTAGCGCGTAACGTCGCATACCACGAGCCCAGGGCCCGTTTAAGACGAAAAAACAAATAATCCGCGATGAAGGGTTCTATTCGTGATTGCAATGGAGAATACCAGATTTGCAGCGGCCACGGGACACATATAAAGGGAGACAAAGGGGGAGGGAAACACAAATACTAAAAAGGGAAACAAAAACTATAAATCGAGTTTAAGCGCAAGCGTTTCGGTCCGTTCAACAGCAACCGCCATGCGAAACATGCGAGACTAGATTGAAGCTAGGAAATAAACAATGGTATGCGACGAGGGAGATAGGCTGCGAGGGCGGGTGGCAGGAAGGGGGAGGCGGGGCTGTTCGCGCATCAGCCTCGCTGGACAAGGAGCGAACGAGAGCGCGACACGGTACACAGCAAACGAGCGTGGGTAGGGATAGTCCGAAAGCAGCCAGAGTGTCCGTCTGTCCGGATGGTATAGCGGTCGGTGGTATGTGCATGAGGGAGCAGGCGCACGTATATAGCCTGAAAGGTCGTCACGACATGGCGATTAATATGAGAAGACCATCAACCATGGGTTGAGCACGATCTGCGCCCCGCGGCTTCAGCAGACATTTACAATAACAATACGAAGCTGAACTCACCGGGTACAATATATGGCAGCCGACCATGAGCGCCAGAGGGAAGATGACGGCCCATGCAGACCCATTAATCTGCCACGCCACAGGCAGCAGATTTGTGCTGAGGATGACCATGGTGGCCACGAGAATGAAACTACATGTCCACGGGAACCAGAAGCTACGCGGCGCGAACGCCACCGAGTCAGCCCTAATAACCGAACAATGTAGCAGGCTGAACGTACCGCTTGAGAATCTTCGGAATCTCCTCAAAGAAATTTGATCGCTCGACTTCCTTCTTCGTCGCACCCCACGTCATGTTGTACGAGAACAGATGCGACAGAACGGCTTGACTGATAGGGATAGACAAACCACCGAAGAAGAAGAAGCTGGGCGTTCGAGAGTGAGCGATAAGCGAACACAAAACAGGCCAGAAGCTAGCGACTCACAAAAACGGAATCCACATGACGTTGATGAGGAAAGACATGACCTGTACACCCAGTCAGCACCAAACTCAGCAGACGTACCCAAGCGACACTCACAAGGGGCCCTTCGCCGAGACGATATTGGAGCAGGGTGAAGCCGATGTTACCAGTGCCGATGAAGACGACGGTGGTCGCGAGCCAGATTTCGAAACTGTGCATGTAAAACCCGTCAATCTCGAGCTGCCACCCGAGGATGAAGTAGTTGATTGTCGAGATTGTGAGCGCGCCCGCGAGACCGTCTGCACCGTGCCCGTCAGTGCCTGCCTCGCGTGCGAGGAGTATGGCGGTATAAACTCACAGTACGAGAACATGTACGCCATCATGGACACCTTGTAGTGGATTGGGGCGGAACACCACATGAACTTGTGGATCTGGGGGCTGATCGGGCCTTTGCGCCACCACTGAGCGATGGGGTTGAACAGCAGCTCGCTACATCCTGCACGCACCCATCAGCACATCACGCAGACAGACAGCGCGGCCGCCAGATTACGCACCGTACGCATATTTCTGCCATCGGTTCAGCTCGTCGTCACACGTGAGCGACACACCCTCCTTGAAGCCACCAAGCGAGTATGTCGCCCACCGAATGATGAATCCGCGCATCTGGAGACGCATGGCCATGTCGAAGTCTTCAGACACGTTCGACTCGGACCAGATCTTCTCTTCGCCGTCAGCCGGATCGATGAACGCAGCGTCCTGGACGGCTCTCCAGCGCAGGAAGGCATTGTGTCCGACAAAGGGGGCAACCTCACCGTTCGCACAAGCTAGATGCGGAATAATTAGGATACGTGAGCGAACACACCCACCCAAGTGAACGCAGACACGTACTGTACGAGATACACTTGTTGATACGGCGTGTGAAGTAGGCAATACCGTTCTCCCAGTAATGGTGGGCGACCTGCATGACATCTACGAGGCGATCCACATCGCGTCAGCTGCGCCCCCGTCGCACACGCAACATCACGTACCGGACTCGTGCTGGATGGCGCCCACGTCCGGGCACTCGGCCATCTCTCTTGCGGCATCACGCAGACAGTCCTACACACACGCCCGTCAGCGCACGCCCCCCCAGACACAAAGCAAGCACCGCACGCACCTCGGGCACGATCGTATCCGAGTCGACGATGAGGATAATCTCGCCAATACGGCACGCACGACCGTTCGCAGCCCACGGGCGGAAGCGCCGCCCACTGGCCTCGTACATCTCGTCGATCGCCAGCTGCAGCGCCTTTTCCTCGAGCTCCCAGTCGTCCATGTTCACCTTCTCCGCGTCCTCGTCACCGCCGACGTTCACAACGCTCGCGTTGCCCCCATCACGATGCTGGTACTGCATACCGTAGCGCTGCTCTTCGTGCGACGTGCGTGGTGAGCGCGGGCCGCGCTCGCGCTCCTGCGCTTGCAGCGTCTCGAGGTGCTTCTCCGCGAGCAGCGACAGCTTCAGACCGTAGTTCATGTTCGACGCCTTCTTGAACCGCCCCGCACGCTTGAACCCGTCCGGCGCGTCATCGTGCTTCGGCCGCGCGACCCAGCCAATGCCGTGGTTTGCGTAGTACGCAATACGTGCATCACGCTCCTCAACCGGCAGCAGCTGCAAACGTCGTACACGGGATCCATTAGCGCCCCGTCGTGAGATCAGAAAAAAACCACACGCAACGCACCCTGAGACCGTCGTCATGGATCAGAATAGTTGACGTCCCGCCCTGGCGGGCGTACGTCTGCATACACTTTTTCATTGATTCTATTGATGGTGCTCTGTCATAGTGCGTCAGCATCTGCCACATGCCACATGCACACCGCAGAAAAGCGACTCACAAAACGCTCTCCAAACTCTCCTTATACACGGGCATCTGAAGGGTAATGTGTGGCAAGTTGTTATCCACGAGCTTATTAGGGCGCGGCTTCACAGCAGAATAGTACTTCGAATTCTCGTGGTACTGTGCGATGGGGCCGATAGCCATGGAGACGTTCTGAATGATCTGGATGGCGAAAAACTGCAGCACCAAGGACCTTCAGCGCCCATATCTCAGCATCAGCGCCCACAGGCCAACGTACCAAAGAAACAGAGAACAGCAAGGGCATCAATGCGCACAGCGCGAACCGCTCGTAGTTGTTGTCGAGTTCCCACTCCTCTAGCAGGGTCTTCAAACCGTTGCCAATGAAGTCTGCCCACAGTTCATCAGCATTACGCATACATCTCCCAAACACAACGACAACGCACAGATGGCCATGCCTGCGGCTAACCCGTTGTAGATCGGCGCATATAACAGCGTGGGACGCTTCGAGGGTCCGAGCTCGTCTAGCGCTGCGCCCATCTCGTCTTGGATGATGATCGTCTTCTTGCGACCGTACCATGTCCTGTTGCCACATCGTCAGCGTCCATCGCAACATCAAACCACCAAACCGCCGAAGCGCAGCTCACCGGACTGTCTTGGTCTTCACGCCGTTGTTCTCCGGGTTGAGGCTCTTCTCGACATCGCTTGGCATGAGCTCCTACAGCTCACCGCATCAGCACGGAATCCCGCCTAGCATACAGTCGCTACAATACCCACCATACTCATGCGGCCCATTCCACGGGGAGTACCCGGAGGGCCCGGTGTGCCCGGGACACCAAGTCGGCGGCCAGATGTCCGCGACATCATAGAGTGGCCCGAGATCGACCCTGCATAAGAAAACGTCGTCAGCGCCTCGGCCGAACATCAGTAAGGAAACGTGTGCGACATGGGCGTTTGTCTGGTGTATTGGCTGGGGTAGGTTGGTGTGAGGAAGCATATACAACGAAATGGGCAGGGTAAAATGCAGTACGTAGCTATCATACTGCGACAGAATGGAACGGTGGCTACGAAAGGGTGAGTGGGAAAATACGATAGCGACTGCGCAGCCACTGCGTGTGCAAGACCACTGCTACTACTACTACCGCGGCACATGGGCAGGGAGGAAGGGGCGTGAGAACATGTTGTGCGCAACTCACCATGGATACTGTTTGGATGACTGCTCGAGCTGTTGGCATGGCTCGCGCCTGCACTCGGCCGTGAACGCCAGAGGAGCTTGATGAGGCGCTCCTCGAACTCTTTGGACGTCGGGATAATGCCATCTATCGAGTCAGACCAGATGACCATCACACGCTCATCGCGCTGAAGGGAAGTATTGTCAGCGATAATGAGCAAAATACAGGGAAGCCCAACGAGAGATGGAAGGGACCACTATTCTAGCCTGAGCGTCGGCGCATACACCGAGATCGTACCCAAGAACTGGGCTCGATCGTCAGCCTTGGCACAGCCTCCGAGTGCGCAAGCCCTGGTGTGATCGACACTATTGCGCCAACAAGACATGGTCACAAGCAACGTCATACATTCCGTGCTCGACGAGTGGTCTCTGACGTTCGAACGGACGAGGGATGGAGTTCAGGCAATTCAGTCAACGACGATAATAGCTCCAGCGCTCAGGGAACACGATGGCGCCTATCGCAGACCACGCCGTCGTCGCAAGTATGGAAGGACACAGGGGCGTGCACCATCGCCGGCGGCGCAATACAATACAGGGAGCCGAAATGGCACGGGTGTTGCGAGGAGGTGCGAGCGGAGATGCTCGAGCTCTTCGACTGTACGGGAGCAGATGGTATCCCATCAAACCCTGCCTGGCAACAGATACCGCGCAGTATCTGCCACGGCAACTGCGCCGTACATGCAAGAAAAGAAACACGAGCGCAACGACGAGAGTGCGGCATGCAATAGAGAGGCGGGACAGGACGGGACTCACAATGAAGGCAGCGCTCTGCTCCTTATCCGCGGTGGGGAGGTCCATCATCGTCTCGATGATCTGGATGCGAGTGTTGGCGTCGACATAGATGGAGCGGTCGTCGGGGCCCCTGCGTCGAGAGGATATGTTAGTACGAGCAGACGAGGGCGTGTTGCGACGGCGGCAGCCCGATAAGGCATGCGGACGGGCGGGCGGCAAGTGGCATGGATACGGGACTCACACTTCAGAGAGGGCAGCGTGGACGGCAGCGCTGCGAACCTTGACAGCGACGGCGGGGTTGAGAGCGGAGACGGCGGCCTCGAAGGGCTCGAGGGCGAGGTTCTCGTAGGGGAAGACACGGAATTCGGGACCATTGTCGACACGGAGGGCGACACCGGCAGAGAGGTTGTCCTCATTTGGGCGGAACCAGGCGTCGCCCTGGGTCTGCTTGAAGATGTGGTGGAGGAAGGCATCGTAGCGGTCGTAGTCCATCCTGGGCTCGCGCTGCGGGGGTCACTGCCGTCGAGAGAGTGGGACGGGCAGTGAGAGGCGGGCGGGAGGGAAGGAGCGGGGGGAGAGGTGATGGTGGTAGTGGTAAAAGAAGGGAACGGCGCGACACGCCAAGTGGAGAGGAGGAGAGGAGGAGGAGAAGTTGCGGTACTCGAAGCTGCAAGGAACGAAAGGAAACGAAAAGAGCGTGCGTCGCGCTGTCCGGCCGCAAGTGGAGCTTATCCCCTCAGACGCCCGTCTCCTCGCCTTTTTCCCATCCCCCTTCTCCCCCGGGTCCCCGGCCACTCCCCGGCCGACCACTGCGCACTGCCCTCCCCGCCGCCAGCAGAGACCCCAGCCCGCCCCCGACCCCGACGTGACGTCGGTCGCGAGGTGGCAGGCCCGCCTCCTCGGGCGTCGACCTGAGCCACAGACCGCCGAGACGGCTGTGCCCTGTCTTATCTCTCTAGCCGTAACATTGCGCCCGACGCTTCGCAGCCGAACAGCTGCCCTGCGCTATCTTTGCGTCCGGCCTGCGCGCCGGCGCGGCGAGCCTGCAGCACTCGCGCACAAATAAATCCTGCAGAAATGCGCCGTCGCGCACGCCTCGTTTCAAACTCGATCCCAATTTGCAAGTCAATTCCACCTGCGCGCGTCCCTGCTCCACCGCACCACAGGCTTGGCGGCGATACGCACAGACCGCACCCTCGCCGACTGCGTCACGCCAGCGAAACACGAACAGCGTCCGTCCCATGTCAGTGCACCATGACGCACACAATGACGCCGTCCCCGGACACATCGTCCTGCGATTTATCAGACTCGTTCACGCGCAACGCCGCCCTTGGACACCCCACCGGCCCCGAGGTTTCTCCCCCCCGCCCGGCTGCCGGCGATCGGCCGCCTTGAAGGTGGACGATCAGATCGTGTCGTCGTGTTTGGCGCGATCAAATGGCAATGGCCGTGCCGGCCATCAGCAACGCGTCGTTCCGGGGTCCTGTGCTGCGATTGGCCCTCGAGGGTCTGGACTGTGCGGTGACCACTCGCCAATTTTAATGACAGCAGGCGAGGATTTGTAGGCTCCTCGCAGGCCTGGACAGCGATGGCGACGGGCGGGCCGCGGTGTCAGCCTGTGTGACATCGGGTGCACGTCGGGTTCGTGGTCAATGCCCAGCTCTTGCTCTGCCAGGACCGTTCAATTCGGGACCTGTGGTCGTGTAATCATTACGGTGGGTCTCCAACCATTTCTACCGAATATTATCGGATACAACAGCACTCCATGTCAATCGCTTCAGGGTCACCACAGACACGATGACGCGCCCGTAATACACAATACGCCCCACCACCCGCTAACGAGCAGCGCAAGCTCTCCTCGCTTGCGTTTAAAGGACGGCCGCTATGGCATGGATCGGGAGCGGGCAGACAGATTTCTTATAACGCCAGCGTGCGGCGTCGCCCCCGTAAGACTCGGACGCCTGCCCGCCACTCGCCATACGAGCAGCCAGTCCCGCACGTCGGTACGTAGTCGCATCCACTCGTCGATGTGCCATCGATTCACTGCTGCAGTAATTCGACACCTCGCAGACGTCGACAGGGCATTCCTCGCGATGCCCAGCCGCGGAGCCAGACACCCGCCGATGCTCACTCAGCCTATTTGTATTCCGCATGAATCGAAGCTTTACCGCCCACCGGTGTCCACACCCCTCCCGCGGCGCGCTCTACTCGGCGCACAATTCGCGCTGTCCTATGGGTCCGCTGCACGCGTCGGCGGTTGCACCCCGCCGTCGGGCGCGGACAGCAGGAGATGCGAACGGCCCACCGCAAGTCGATCGCACATCCGGTATCACACACAGCGTCTCCCTTGGGCACCCCGCCTCGCCGTCTCGTGCTCGCAACCGCGTCGCGACCCAGCCTCTCGACGCTGTACCCGTATGAACCTCACGCCCCAGGCCTCACAGTATTCGAATGAGTCATCTCCGCGCGCAGGGCCCACACACCGCGGCAGACCTCCGCGTGGGCTCGTCGTGTAGCTTGCATGAAGCTGAACACAGGCGGCAGACTGTCCTCGCGCGCGAAGCCATTTTCCAATATTATTTGTGTTTGTTACACGGCAACTGCGCTGGTACTATGACAGCCAGGCCCGATCGTGATTAGCAGCCGTGCGGCGGTGCGCACGGCGAGCGCGCAAACATGTACTTGTAACTTATCGCGGCGGAAGTCCTGGCCTGCCTGGCGTGCGCGGAGGACGCTGGGTGGTGATTATTATTCATGCTTGCGGAATGATACATACAAGTGAGCATCTGTAGCAATCAATTCGACACCCCGTTTCAGGCGGTCGCAATGGAGTGGGTGCGACGAGGCCAACTACGATCATGATCGTAGAGAGTCTGTGATTTTGGTATCTGAGGTTCCTGAACGGCGTGAGCTTCGTCGTGAGCTGCGACGCTGTGTGCAGTGTCCGTCACGCTGTCATCTTGGGGTCGCAGACAGCGTCCCCCGCATGCTCTAAGCGCAGTGGGAGAACCGTGCCAAGCTGGACAACAGCCGTCTCAGGCCCGGTGCGCCGCTGATGGGCCGGAGGCATCGCCAGCATATGTATTATTTATAACCAGCAGTGCGGGACCCCGGAGAGGCCTACGTACGCTGTGTGGACGAGCGGGCGCCAGCGTCAGGAACGGGGGAGCAGGGAATACGTTTAATGTCAAAGTCGAGGCCCGTCGCGGGGTGACGTCACGGCGACGGACGTGCGGCGGCGGTGCGATCCCGGGTTACGTGACCGACGACGCAGCGAAGGAGGAGAGCGCCGCCGCGGCCAGGGCGCACCGTGCTGGTCTCCCGCTGTGGGTCCGCGGCCGGCGAGCAAGTCGGCGTGCGGAGGGTGAGCGCGCCGGACGGAAGCGGGTGGCGTGGGAAGACGCGCCGTGCCGCTGTGCTGCGCGACGAGGGAACGTCAGGGCAAAGGCAAGAGGCGAATGCGGTGTGGGGCGGCGGGCAACAGTCGGGGGGGCTTATCGGAGCAGGCCCCGGACACCATCGGGAGATGCCAGCGGGCAGGACCCGGGACAGAGGGGAGCGTGGGAGGGCCGGTGGGGGAGATGAAGGAGGCGCGGGCGGGGGTTGTCGTTGCTCTTTCCCTCTTCCTCATCGCTGCTGTCGGGTCTCTCCTTCTCCGTCCAGCAGAATCTCTCATCCTATCAGTTTTTTCAGTAAGCCGCCGCGCAGCCACACTCGTTTTCCCCCCACTCACTTGCTCGCTCTTGCACTCGCCTCATCGCTCCCGCAAATCGCACCTCTTCTGCCGGCATAAAACCGAAGCCTATCTACGCCTTTTTTTCCTTCTTCGCCCTTTTTGACCCTTATCCGTAAGTGTCCTCTCCACTCCGGTGGTTTTAGGCTGGCGGCTTACCGCATCACTGCCTCATCTCCACCTGCCCCCACGCTTGCGTACACGCACCAGGCTGCTAGCCCAGACTCGCTGTCCCTCGCATGGCCTACAGAAAGCGCGACAGTTACTCGGCTAGCTACTCTGACGCTTACAGCTCTGTCCCCACCACCTCCTCCCCGTCTTTTGCCCACGCGCGCTCAGCAACCGCAGGCGCCGCACAACAATACGACGAGGAGGCCTACTTCACTTCCCCCTTCTCCTCTACCCAGCAACTCCCCATGGCCACCGCATACTCCCGCGACCGGGCTGGCTCTCGCGGCGGCGACCCTAGCCCCCTCAGCCCGCCTCGTCCTCAGTTCCTCGACGGCGACCGCCATTCCTCCAGCGACGCTGAGACCGCCAGCGACTCGGACAACTCCAACTTTGGCGTCAGCACCCCCCGCGCCAACGCCAACCGCGTCCATATGCGTGGCCGTTCCAACACAAACTCCTCTCAGCCTCGCGCTGTCGCCGCCAGTCCTCCCGGCACCACTCGCTCACGCAACCACACCCGCCGCCGTAGCAGCGCCGCCAACGACTACTCGTACGACTATGCTCACGCCTACGCCGCTGGCGAAGAGGACGGCCCCATGCTCAACTCCCCTCCGCTTTCGTCCATCGGTCACGCTCTCGCAAATCCATTTGGCTCCCCTGACGAGACCCCCCGCAACTCTCTCTACGGCGGCCCCGGCGATCGTATGAGCAGCGGCAGTGAGAAAGGCTTTGGTGGTCGTGCCCCACCCTCCTCTTACGCCTTCCAAAGCCACACTGGCAACCCCGACCCCCTCCCTGGTGGCGTCAACAAGCGTTCCTCGCTCGAATCGATCCGTGCACGTGGTCCAGGAGGTGCGACGCTCGCTCAGCTCCCTCCACCACCGCCGCCGAGTAATTCGGGACACTCAATGGTGTCTATCTCTGCAGGTCCCGGGAGCTACAACAATTACGGCAACAATGTGCTCATGGCGCCCGCCGGCGGAAACCCCCTCAGCCCGCCCGGCAGCGGTACCGCATACCCCACCGGCCAGGCGACCGGCGGCTACGGCCTCGTCGCCGAGACGGATGAGCTCGGACGCCCCTACGCGCCCTTCATGGGCGGCGAGGCGGACCGTAGCCAGACCCCGCCGAGCCCCGGGCACGGCAGCCTGTACGCGCGCAGTGCAGCGGGCGCAATCGCCTCGAACGCGAGTGCGGCAATGTCGATGCGCGCGCCGTTCCTGAGCCCCGCGAGCCGTCCGACGTCGTCACTGTGGGCGCCGCCGAGCTACCCGTACGCGTACCCGCCCGGGAGCGGCTCGAGCACGGCGCTCAACTCGTACGCGGGGAGTGGGCTGTACCCCAGCCAGTACCCGAGCTACGCGGACATCCAGGCGCAGCTGCGCAAGAGCAAGCCGATCCTGCCCAGTTCGCGGTGCGTCGTGCTTCCGCTTTCCTCTCTCATTGCTCATCCTTGCTGACTACTCGTTTTGTTGGTTTTGATCGCTCACTTTACTGGTTATGTTGTCGGGTGTTTTGTCGTGCGATGCGTGTGGTGCGTGGTGTGCAATGGTGATTGCGCGCGCGCAGGCTTGTGACAAAGCTGACTGCGGAGGAGAAGCCGTGGATGGCGAAGAAGGATGGGCGCAAGCGCGCGTCGTACTGGCTGACGTTGTTCGGGATGTTCCTTGGCGTCCTCGGCGCCGCGGCGGTGTGCTACTTTAGCTGGATCAGCGTGAACGTGCTCTCGAACAGCGAGCTGTGCAGCGTGCTCAGCGAAGACTGGAGCGGCGGGCTCGACCTCAACCAGACGTGGTCGCCGGATAACCAGCTCGGTGGATTTGGGTGAGTGGCGTGGATTTTGTTTTGTTTTGGTCGTTGTGCGTGCTGGGATGTGCTGGTCTTGCTTAGTGCGACTGGCGACAATGATAGGTGCACTCTGGCCAGTGTTTTGCTTCAGCCATGGCCACGCTTCAAGGCTTGCGTGATTGGCGCCGTCGTTTGTGGCCTATGGCCCGCTCTTGTTACCTACTTTAGACTGCTTGGGTACTGGGGCGGGCATCGCCGTACCCGATTTCCATGACAGGTTACTGAGATGGTGTGTGCTGACTGGTGTCTCTCGGCAGCAATGGCGAGTTCCAGATCACGACGACGAGCAGCACGAATCTTTACGTCAAGAACAACGAGCTATACATCTACCCAACCCTCACGAGCGATACGCTCTCTGGTGGCTACCCTGCCATTTTTGATGGCGGTTCGTACACTGTCCCCGACTGCTCGACCTCGAACAAGGTTTGTCCTATCCATGCTGTGCAGCGTGGTTTAGTGTTGACCGTATCTGGGTTTCCTATGTCTGCAGACCGCGTGCTCGGCAACGTCGTCGAACAAGACCTCCACTGTGATCAACCCGGTGATGTCCTCCCGCATCAGCACGCAGAACTCGTACAGCATCAAGTATGGCCGTGTTGAGGTCGTCGCGAAGCTACCGCAGGGCGACTGGCTCTGGCCCGCTATCTGGATGTTGCCGGTGAACAACACGTACGGCCCCTGGCCCATGTCTGGGGAGATTGATGTACGTCGTCCTCTCGATAGGCTGCTGCGGCCGTTCATCTCCGCTCACATTGACGGTGTCTTGGCGTGATGCCCCTAGATCATGGAGGCGCGCGGGAACCCGCCGTCGTACCCGGCACAGGGCACGAACTTTGTGCGCTCGTCGCTGAACTACGGCGTGTTCGAGGTGCTGCAGACGCACCTGTTCGGCTGGTGGGAGAGCAAGGTGACACCGTACAGCGCGGACTTTCACACGTACGCACTGGAGTGGACGGATTCGTGGATGCGGCTGTACGTCGACTCGCGCCTGCAGGCGATGATGAACCTGCAGATCACAGGCAAGGGCGGCAAGTCGTTCTTTGACCGCGGCGCGTACCCGACCACGGTGCAGAACGGCAGTACTGAGGCCGTCGTCACGGACATCTGGACCCAGATGGGCGGCGGTGCGAACGCGCCGTACGACCAAGGTGCGTGGGCTGTGGTTTTCTGTTGTGCTGGTGTGTGCGTGCGGCGGGGCTGATTCGGGGTGCGCGCAGAGTTCTACCTGATTCTGGACGTGGCTGCGGGCGGGACGAGCGGCTGGTTCCCTGACAGCGTCGGCAACAAGCCCTGGTACGACGGCTCCCCGACCGCCATGCGCGAGTTCGCCTTGGCCCAGGAGACGTGGTATGCGACCTGGCCGTCGGATGACACCGACCGCGCTTTCCGAGTGTGAGTGCTGCGTGCTTTCTTCTTCCGTGAATGCTCAGGCTGACGGGCTGCGTGCGCGCAGGTCGTCCGTCAACATGTGGAAGCTCTGCTGAGCGCCGGCCGCCTCTGTCGCTCTTTCGTTTCTTTACCGACCGACACCCGAACACACACTATACCCTCCGGGGCGGTACATAGCACGGACATTGATGCATGGACGAAAGCTGAGACGAAAATGGGATTGCTTGCCCGCGGTGGGCCCGCTGCTGGGGCGCCGCGGCCGGACTTGGACTTGCGTAGGCGGTGGTCTGCGCGGACTTGTTTGTGCTGCTACGGTGTTGTCTCGCTATATGTTTTTTTTCTATCTTTCTTTTTTGCTTCTTCCTTTCCCCATCCCACTGTCCCCCCTACGGTCTGTGGCGCTGCTTTCGTGCCGTGTTCTCCTCGACTATACCATGCTTTCCCGCGCCCCCCCCGTTCGATACGCTTTCTGCCTGCCGGACCCGGTTGACGAACACTGTTTGTTTCCCGGCCGCGGGGCTGCCCGCCGCGGTCCCGGAGGCCATTCCGCTCTTTTTAAATACTCGTACGAACACACGCATCTGTCGGCGGCGCGCACGCCCGTGCTCGCTTCTTCCCCCCTTTTTTTTATATTATTGTTACACCTGTCTGCATAGTACACGCCCTGCTTTTATCACATTGGGCGCTGCCCGTGCTCCGTGCTCCGTGCTCCGTATGACTGCCCCCCTCCCCCGCATGCCTGGTGCTCGTCCCCCCAATCCCCCTC